GCCCCGCCCCGCCGCGGCATCCATCGGTCCGGCGGAATGCAATTACGCCCGAGTGTCCGCTGGGCCCTGGCCGCGCCCGGGCGGGCTCAGGCACGCCGCGCAGCCGCGCACGCCCTCCTCGCGGACGGGACAATGGTCAATGTGCTGTGAGACTGAGAACCCCCTGGGCCCAGGCCCTGGGCCGGGCATTAGCATCAGCCCCCCCCCCCACCCTTTATGGCACCCTCCCCTCTGTCCGAACCCTCCGCGCTGGTACACCTTCGGCCTCCTCGCGGGGCCCCGTACCACAGGATGTATTTACACATTTACGCCCCGCCTGGACCGAGCATGGTGCTGAGTGGTCCCAGATGGGGATCATCCAGAAAGTACGCCCGCCATTCGTCGTTACGAACCTGCCAAGTGAAGCCAATGCAAGCTCTCACGGCGCCTGGTAGGCAGGCAACATCTCGGCTACAGTGCACGGGTGTACGGTGGGGTGGCCTACCCTGACTCTCACAGGCGCTGAGCTCCTGTAATTTGCCGAATTAATCCGAGGAAAAAAACCAGATGTACTTTCTGGACGATCCCATGTGTTTCCGTCTCGACTGAATTGAGAAGGAAAATGGAAGAGAGCCGCATTAACGAAACGAGCTCCCGAGATATGACATATGAGTACGGCGTACCCTTTACCTATATGGGCCGCAGTGGCAAGGGACGCCGCGCCGCGGCCGGCCGAGTCCCGCGGGGGGAATTCCCCTTTATGGATTACAATAACAGCCGGAGGCAGCAGCCGTGGCGCCACGCGCGAGGAGGGGAGCGCACCCCGGGTACCCTGGGGTCTAATTGTCCGTTCGGCCCCGATAGCGACCACGACTGGGCGGGGCGGGCGGGGCCCTCTGTGCGCAACCGCAGCACCTCCCGGCGGGCGCCCCCTCGCGGCGGCCCCAGCCGCGGCGCTGCTTACGGCTTACGGGCCGTCATACGCCACACCACGCCGCGCCCCGCGCTCCACAGGGCTCACCAGAACGCGGAAACATACGAGTCGCAGCTCGGGCGAGCGGACCTTCGCGTCGTGGGGGAGCCCAGCCCAGCCCAGCCCAGCCCCGCCCAGCCCCGGGACATCCCTGCCGTGCATTTATGCATGAGCGCAGCCGGTGCTGGGCGCATCACAACGGGGGGGCTAAAGTGAATTGTAAACACAATTGCAGCGGCGGGGTGAACGCTTTGAGGTGGGTCGAGCATGAAGCGTGGCACCCTCAGCAGTGCGGCAGCGCGGGACCCACTTCCGCCTTCTCTCTCGCTCGCTCTCCTTCTCTTTCTCTCTCTCTCTCTCGCTCTCTCTCTCGCTCTCTCTCTCGCTCTCTCGCTCTCTCTCGCTCCTACTCGCCGACCACCGCCGCCTGCTCGCTCCCTGCCTCGCGGCTCCTCGACCCGCGCTCACTGATTGTATTTGAATTGATGTTTCGTTTGCTCAGGCCCGCGGGGGGTCGGTTGGTCGCGCGGAGTGGCGGGGGCGGGTCGAGCGAGTGTCTTCCCTCCCGAGGGCGACAGACTACGGCCGGAGCGACCCCGGCGGGGGGCGGATGCCGCCAAAACTCTTCCGCCAACATGGAAAGTGTGTCTCGGCGGAGGGATTTGAAGGCCCCGTTTCTTTGGTGTGTTGCAGGGACCTGCAGCCAGGCGGGCTCCGGCGGCGGCGGCGGCCAGGGCCCCGGTGGCGCTGCGGGGGCGGGGGCCCCCGAGCAGGCAGGCGTGCCTCAAGGTGGGTCCTCCGGCCCGGGACGGCCCGAACTGCGCTGCGAAGACTCGGAAGAGCGTGACCAACACCCAGCGAGTAAGTCATGAATTCTATTTCTTTACAACCAAATTTTGCACGTAATTTTGATTCTTTTTTTTAAATGCACCTTTTAAATTTTTCTCAATTTTTAAATTTTGTGCAATTTTTTTGCGCAATTTTTAAATTTTGCCTCCTCTGTAAATTTTGCCCTCTTCATAAATCTGTCGGCCAACCCTCTTGATTGCAGTGGATGCGACAGCCGTGCGGGCGTGGCTGCGCGCGCACCCGGAGGTGCTGGAGAAGCACGTGATGGACGAGCTGGAGCTGGAGACCCTGGAGCGCTGGATCATCCGCAAGACGCAGCGCGCCAAGAAGATGCAGCAGCAGCAGGGCCAGGCCGGCAAGAACGGCAGGAAGACGTCGCTGTCGAGGTGGAAGGTAGGCCTACGCCAAGGACACCGACAAAATTTTCCTTTTTGAGATCCAACCTGATGTTTGAAGATGTGGGGCACTTATAGCTTTGAACCATGAGCTTTTACATCCCATATACGGAATAACATGCTCAGGAAGGGGGGGGGGGGTATACAAGTTCGCTCAACCTTTGCTGCCAACCCGCTTGCAAAGAAATACTTGCAAACGGTCTAACACCTCTGACACACTACTTGTGTGTGGCAGGGACCTATACCCGACGTTGGAACTCAGCTGCCGCTGGCACCGGCATGTCAAAGCTGAAATCCACTTCATGCGAGCATAGCGCTCTCTGTGGTGCCACAACTTTACAGCCCGATACATATATATATCGAGAGGGAGAGAGACGGGGCAGGGGGAGAGTGGGGTGCAGCCCGTCGCTGCCTCTCAGACCCCGCGCTCTTTACTCGATTGCCTCGCTGAAACTCAATACATTTCCCATCCATCTATCTACCGGCCGCGCCCGCCCCGCCGTCTGGTACTCCCGAGAGCCGCCCCTCGGGTACACTTTGCCACCCACCACCCCCGCCCCGCGCACTCCGGCGACAGTGGAGTGGAGGAGAGGAATCCCGGCTTACACAACATTGCGTGCGTCTCTTGCAGTTCTGCGTGCACGCCGACAAGCGCCAGATGCTGCAGGAGCTGACGCAGTCGCTGCAGCGCGGCCCCTCGCGCGCGCACGTCCTCTGCGAGCTGGCGGGCTGCATCAGCTCGGCCGTGGGCGCCGACGGCTTCCGCCTCTTCCTGGCCGAGCAGGGCGACCCCGACAACCTGACAGAGTACGTGGGCGAGAAAGAGCCCACGCCGCTTCCCCCGTGAGTACACGGAGTGCACGCCGTCCTGCTGTTCATCCTTGTCGGCGAGCGGAACCAGGTTACGTTACCTTACCTTTTCATTCCATTTTGCCGCAGGTCCTCTGCGCGCCGCTCCTCGGGGCTGACGGTGCCCGGCTTTGTCGCGAGGACTCGGGAGCCCGTCAGGCTGTCGTACTCCGAGCCGGACTCGAGGTTCCCCAACGGAATGGCCTACAACGTGAGTCTCCCGACCCTTCTACTGACACCTCCTGGCACCTTTCTGGAAAAGTGTAGACCGTTAAAACGACATCTATTGGGATTACCAAGTTGGTAAATTGTCAGTTTCTGCGATCCTACCTCACTTGACAAAATACTTACCTCGGTCATGCTCTGCTTGTCCTGCAGGGGCACGTCCTGTGCCAGGCGGTGCTGCAGCCCGACGGCTCGCTCGCCGGCGTCCTGGAGCTGCGGCGTGGCCCCCACAGCCCGCCCTTCCACGAGGAGGACGAGGAGATCAGCCAGTCGTACCTGGTGTGGGGCGGCATCGCGCTGCACTACGCCCACCTCTACCTCACGCAGGACCGCCAGCGGCGGCTCAACGACTTCCTGCTCACCGTCGTCAAGTGCGTCCAATCTATGAGTTTTCACAAAATTAATTAGGAAAGGATAATTAAACGTTTCACGCAAAAATTTTCAAATTTCACTTAAGAAATTCACTACATTATA